GGCTTCAGTTCTGCCTCTTGCTCCCAGCCCACTGAAGCTAGAGGCATCTCTTCACTCAGGCAGCTACTGGCTGCTGAGGCTAACAAGCCCAAGGTCAACAAATAAAATGGCACAGTCCCGATATTACCAAACCACAGTGCAGGCCATTAATTCAAGTCTATTGAAAGTCTCAAGGTTGGCAGAGCATGGCAGGCTGCTGAACAACACAGCTACATGCAAAGTTCAAGCATGCCGTAAACTAGAGACCATTCCCAAAGCTTTTTCTTATATTCAGGAAGCAGACCACATACCCACAGGCCGCTATTCAGCTTCTCACAGTAGATTCCACCATGGAGTTCATTACCAATCTCACCATGGGGAATACTACATCCAGCTGCCCAGCCACTCAACCAGGCCTAGCCAAGTTAACACACAAACTTAACCATCACAGATACATTATTATTTTTTTTTTATTCTTCTCATGCCAAATTTAATGAAGGGAGATGTCAATACTTAAGAGCTGGACTGGTGGTTTGTAAACCAAAAAAGAAAAAAAATCCACTGTCATCAACTCAATTCTAACTCATAGCAACCCTCATTGGATTTCTGAGATGGTAACATTTTTCAGAAGTAGATTGCCCCATTTTCCTTCTACAGAGAAGCAGGGGGGTTTGAACCACTGACCTTCTCATTAGCAGTCAAATACTTTAGGCACTGTGCCACCAGAGATCCTCAATGGTTTGTAAACCTACTCTCAGTTCTCCAGGGAAACATCTTAAATTCCTCTACTAAGCTCTGCTTTCTCCAGATATCCCCTAGAACTTAAATAGACTGAAGGTGCCTATGGCTTGATTACTATGGGCTTAAGGTTAACTGTCTTTATTTCCTGAGAAAGGTATACGCAATACATGGCAGTGCCTTTAACAGTACCCTGCTGTGCTGGAAGATGATCGAGAGGTTGTAGGCAGCTTAGAAGCAGAATTAAGTGTAATTTTAACTGCTAGTTCTCAAGGAAACACCAGAGCCAAGCACTTGTTCAGAGGTTATTCATGAAATGCTAACATTATAAGCGTTGTTATTATTGGGATGTGGGGAGATTCAGGATAATTTTTTCATCTTTGGGCAGAAATTTAGAAAGAAACACCCTACAAAATGGCCGAAGACCACACCCTACTATAAGTGGTGGAAGAACTTAAGTGGTGAAAGGATTTAAATCTAGATTGTTGCCACCTTAACCAGTATACTGTGCTGCCTACCAGATATAAGGGAGCTCAAAGATAGTAGAACAGGAATTATTAATAGTTCAATAAGATACTATTTGAGGATTAGTATATAGTAAGATAATTATTTAAGGCAAAACATAACCTAGAATGTGGTCACACATCACAGATGTCTGCCTATTCCCTCTGTAGGTATTTCTCAGTTTCCATTACTTTCTTATTCTACATTCTCAGTTATCTTGTCCTATGCTGTGTTGTTGTTACATGCCGTCGAGTCGGACCCGACTCATAGTGACCCGTGCTTGGGTTTCCGAGGCAGTATCACTACGGAAGTAGATTGCCCAACCTTCCTTCCGAGAAGTGGCTGGTGGGTTTGAATCGCCAGCCTCCTGGTTAGCAGTCAAGTGCTTTAGGCACTATGCTACCAGAGCTCCTGTCCTATGCTGTAGCTTCAAATAATAACTGCCATCTCTAAGATTAAAGTTAGAATCTTAAATAAATTATTGGATATCATCCTGTGGCTTTTATAAAGAGACTTGAATTCCAACATACTTAGAATTGAAATCCACTCCAATATTTTCCGAAAACCTCCCCCTGGTTTTCTATCAAAGAAAATGGTATACCATCTTTAGTAGTCATCTGAATTGCAGACACCAGAATTCTTGTGCATTCTTCCCCCTCCTAACACATTTATACAGCCTCCGGGTTCTGTCAGTTCTACCCCCACAGCCTGTTTCCATTTCTCTTGCCACTTCCCTGGTTCATGTTTTCATTATCTCTTACTGGGATTATTACAGTAACCTTGCTGACTGCTCTGCCTGATTCCAGTGTCTCTCCCTGCTAATCCCTTCACCACATTTCAGCAAGAGATAATGCTATCTTCCTAAAACATAGCTCAGATAATTTCATTCCCCTGAAAAGCTCTAATAATTTTCATTGCTATTGGGTTTCTGAGGCAGTAAATCTTTAAGGAAGTAGATTGCCCCATCTTCCTTCAGTGGAGCAGCTGGTAGGTTTGAACCACTGACTTTCTGGTTAGCAGCCAAATGCCTTATCCACTGTGCCACTAGAGCTCCTTATCTTGTTGGATAAAGAAGGAGCCCCAGTGGTACAGTGGTTGAGTACTTGGCTGCTAACCAAATGGCTGGTGGTTCTACAGCCACTCTGAAAGAGAAAGATGTGGGAGTCTGCTTCCATAAAGATTATAGTCTTGGAAACCTTATGGGGTAGTTCTGCTCTATAGAGTAGCTATGAGTTGGAATCAACTCAGTGGCACTGGGCTGGAGCCATTATCTGCTGTTCACACCTGTGCAGGAGTGAATTTATCAGGTTAGTCAGTCATTCTTTCAACACACTGGCAATGGGCTTGGTTTTTTGTTGGACAAAATAGGAGCCAGTTGGTTATGTGCTTCTAACCAAAAGTTCAGCAGTTGGAACCCACCAACCCCTCCATGGAAGAAAGATGTAGCAGTCTGTTTCTGTAAAAATTACAGCCTTGGGAATCCCATGGGGGGCAGTTACACACTGTCCTATAGGGTTGCAATGAGTTGGAATTGATGAAACAGCAATGGGTTTGGTTTTATTGGGCAATGTCCAACCTCATTCCTATAATAGTTAATTATTTATGTTCTTGTCTTCCCTTAAAAGTTCCCTGAAGTCAGAGACTCATCTCATCTATTCTCCAGCCTCCTAGTAACTTCAAATCCAGTACTCACTCATGGAGTAGGGTTCACTTTCCAGATAAACAAAAAGATGCCACCAATAGGAAGAGTACTTGGAGTTTAAAATGCCAGTAGATGTTTTAGTTAATTAGGAGGTCATTGGTCAATAACTCTAGAGAGGAATTTAAGTGATAGGATGGAGATGACTTCTTTGATGAAAGGAAGGAGAGAGAAAATAACTGGAGGTCCAATAGAGTTTAACTTTGCCAGAAACTATACCTAAGGATTTGAAATGGGGAGTATGAAATGCAGAGATAAGTGGTTAAGGGTTTGCTGATTGTAGCTGTAGATCAGCTTCTCTTTGCTGATGTTCTCAAGGATTATCTCGAAAGTATTGGAAGATAGAAGGTCAAGCTGCTTCCTCAGAAAATCTGCTTGCTTGCTTTTGCCTAAGCCATTGGCCTAGTACCCCCAGTTTCTAGAAGGCAGATTGATGCTAAGGACTATTGTGGAAGCTTGTAGGAATTCACTAAGTGCCCCAAATTTTCAGGCTTCATTCCTGAGGAGAGCTCACAGCTGGCAGGGCTCCAAGTTCCCCAACTGGTCTTTTTTTGCGGTGAAAGCGGCAGTAAGCCAGGACCAGCTCCCCCAGTGACAAACCATGTGCTCAGATTCTCAGTGTCCATAGACACCATGCACTTTGTAGAGAGGCTTGGCACCAAAGCCTCAGCCATCAAATTAGAATTCTGCAATACAGGAATTGCAGCACAGGATTATATCAAGAGCTGAAATTCTTTCATACTCTCTTGTCTGTTATTCTCCTATCTGTACTTTTCCCAACCTAACAGTAGATAAATTGGGATTATATAAAGAGCTGAAATTCTTTCATACTCTCTTGTCTGTTATTCTCCTATCTATACTTTTCCCAACCTAACAGTAGATAAATTGGGATTATATCAAGAGCTGAAATTCTTTCATACTCTCTTGTCTGTTATTCTCCTATCTGTACTTTTCCCAACCTAACAGTAGATAAATTGGTTTGGTGCTTACACTGTGCCTTCCAATGTAGGCTTTACACGTATAAGTTTCTTTTATACCTACAACACCCTAGGAGATGTACAATTACTGTTCCTGTTTTTCCATATGAAGAGACTCAGGCTTAGAGCAGTTCACTAACTTACTGAGGCCAGAAACCAAAAACTAAACCCACTGCCATCAAGTTGATTCTGACAGAGTGACCCTATAAGACAGAGTAGAACTGCCCCATAGGGTTTCCAAGGCTGTAAGTCTTTACTGCCACATCTTTCCCCCTCAGAGCAGCTGGTGGGTTCAAACCACCAGCCTTTCAGTTTGTAGCCAAGGACTTTAATAGCACCACCAGGCTTTCTTTCCTGAGGTTGTGGAGCTCCTAAAGGGCAGAATACTGGGAAAATCTGGGACTTTGACCCCAGTGCTGTCAAGCACTACACAATGGTGCTTCCCCTTGTGTTCCTTGGAACACAGGAGCCATTCCCAATAGAATTACAAGCGAATTTCACTAGAGGAAGTAAAGCATTCTGAGGTGTTGAAATATTATTACTTTAGGAAATGAGAGTTGTCATATTCCTTTCTCCCATCTTTTAATTACTTCACTGTTGCATTGCATAGAAAGTACAAGCATTTTGGACAAGAGTAGTTTTGCAGAGAATCATCAAAATTCCCCAACTTGAACATTCAACTTTCTGCCATTCAACCCCATCTGCACTGGTCCCAAACTTTAACCTAAGCAAAAACATGCTTGCGGTTCTCTCACAGATAGTATTCTCATAGGAATATAGTGCAGCAGTGCCAATTCATTGTCTTCTAGGCCTATTGTCTCATTTCCTTTAAGGCCAATATAATCAAATCAATATTGTTTCTAATTCCTTTGCTTTCCTTTCCCTCCAAATTACTCACATACACTCATGTAGAGGCATATCCCATTTTATTGCACTTTACTTTATTGCATTTTGCCAGTACTTTTTTTTTTTTTTTAACAAATTGAAGGTTTGTGGTAACCCTGTGTCAACCAAGTCTGTCAGTGCCCTTTTTTCCCAACAGCATGTTCTCACTTCATGTCTCTGTGTCACATTTTGTTAACTCACAATATTTCAAGCTTTTTCATAATGCTATTGCACACTTAATAGACTATAGCATAGTGTATACATAACTGTTATATGCACTTGGAAACAAAAAAATTGGTGTGACTTGCTTTATTGTGATAGTCGCTTTATTGCAATGGTCTGGAACCAAACCTGCAAGATCTCTAGGGTATGCCTGTAGGATCCAGTTTTCTTCATTCATTCCCTTCTTCCTTTTCTCTATTGATGATTCTAGATGAACTATAGAAAGATGCATGACCTCATTTGTCAGACTGTTTCCATATTGCTTTGACAAGTGAAGAAAAGGGCTAGACTCTCTCTTCTTTCTCTTATTGCTCCATATTAATCACTCATTGGGTTAATTACCAGAGACACTTTGAGCTGACATACGATGGTCCCTTATGCAGCTGAGACTCTGGCAAGAGAATGGTCACTTATTTGGGGTAGACTGGTTGATTTGGTGCTAGAATATGTTTCAGATGTAGATTAGAAAGTAACCAAGTAACACTGACTCAAAGACACTGCTTTTCACTAGGCTCACATGCCCTACCTGATCTTAGCTATTGATTCATCTATAGTTTGCTTCGAGCTATCAGTTGTAGTTACCATTCTTCTTCTACAGCAATAAGGTATTTAGTATACTTCTCTGGCTTCCTTCAAAGTGTAGCTTTTTCCTTTCTGTGATGACTGTCATGAGAATGAAGTGGGAAATCTGTACATTTTCTTATTCCCTGGCCATGATCTGAAAGTTGAAGGAACTATCTGCCAGAAGGTTTTAAGAAGATACCTTCCAGTTCTGAAGGGAGGCCTGTGCCTGTCTCATAGAATTCTTCACTGGCTTTTTACAGTCATGCCCATGTCAGTAACCTCTCCTTCTACCTATGAAAGCTGAATTTTCTCATCTTGAGGGCTGTTATCAGTAAGTCACCCAGAAACCAACTGTTTCTAATGAGTTTCCTTTCAGGTTGGGGCTTTCAAACAATATCTTTAATTTATGAGGGAGGTGTAGTATTCATTGATTTTGCTGTCCTCCCACCATCATTGCTGCCATTTTCTCCCCAGGGACACAACAGTCATCAGCCACTCTCCTAACACCAGCTATGATACGGCCCTAGAAGCACGCATCCAGAAAGAGGAAGAAGAAATATTGATGGCCAACAAGCGTTGCCTTGACATGGAGGGCAGGTAACATGCCAATCTGGATCCTGATGGATATGAGAAGTTGGTATAGAGACCACATAGGGTCAGTACAGAGGCAAAAGCATCTTTATTCATAACTGTGAAACCTGGTAATGCTGCCTTCCTCCACCACCTCTACCCCGCCTGCCAGCCTGTTACTAAGGGTTTGTGATATGACCTTTACCTTGATTATACTCACCAACTGTGTAATTCCAAGTAGGGCTGCTTTCCCCTTGGCCTTGCCAACTACTTTCCATCTACCCTTTGCCAGAACTGAATTGTTGATATTTGCACTCTGGGGAATTCTTTCTAGCATTGTGTCTAGGCTGCTTCATAAAATACCTTCTCTAACTGGGAAGTAGGGCACTTGATGTCTTCTATAATTCATAATCATTTACTTATTGCTTGAAGGTCGTGGCTCATTGGTAGAAGTGTTCACCTTCTTACTGAACACATTATTTCTGTTGATGCAGATCCTTCACTACAGTACCCACTACATAGGGTTACTCTCTGATGTATACAGCCTTTCTTTTCACCTATACTCTATTTTGACCTCCTAACATTTAAGCAACAACTTCTGGATGCTCTGCTACTTCCATTTTGAAAAATGTAGCATACTACCAATTTTGCTACAACTCAGAAATAAGTAAGACCACCCCTCAGTCAATACAGAAAATGGAGTTAAAGTCCTTGGAAGTAGTGAGACCAGAATGTGGTGGTAGAGAAAAGGTCTTTATAACAGTTTTTTTGGTCTTTGGCTCCTAGGATTAAGACCCTCCATGCCCAGATTATTGAGAAGGACGCCATGATCAAAGTGCTCCAGCAGCGTTCCCGGAAGGAGCCCAGTAAAACAGATCAGCTGTCATCCATGCGTCCAGCTAAGTCTCTGATGTCCATTTCCAATGCTGGATCAGGCTTGCTCTCCCACTCTTCCACCCTGACTGGCAACCCCATCATGGAAGAGAAGCGGGATGACAAGAGCTGGAAGGGGAGCCTAGGTAATGACAGTAAATAAGAAAGAGTATAGTGACAAATTTAAAGGGAACCCTGAATTTTTTATGTGCTCATACAGCAACGAAAAGGGATGATGTCCGCGTTATAGAGAGGAAGATAAACCAGGTTTGTTTTCTTCCTCTTGAGAGTCCAGCTGCACATTCAAGAGCTCCTCTACACAGTGAAGTCTCACTGAAAGAACATCGGCTGAAGCCAAAGCATTAGAAGATAGAATCCTGAGTTCTGTTGGGAGGAATGAAGATAACTTTTAATTCCTTTACAAAATTCTAATTTGCCCTTTTTCGTAGGGGGACATTTTGTCTTTGTCCAAAGCCCATGTGACCTTCGTGTCACTCAAAATTCCAAAATTACGGCTTTTTCTTTGCTCCTTCCTCCCACACAATAGGAGGACCCAGAGTTCTTGCTAAGCTAAATGGAGCTGGCTGACAGGTTTGTTATCAGAATGTTCTGAGATGAGAACACAATGTACTTTTTCCATTCCATTCTTGTCCATTCCTTTCCCTTTAATCAAATCCTGAAAAGTGTTGTTAATGCCATAAGCACAGGCACATTTTTAGAGCCTGTGGAAGCAAGTCACACCTATCTGTCTATAGGTGTGCATCTAAATATAGATACTAGCTCTTTTGGTTGCCTCTTGATCCTTGACACTTGTAGTGTTCTTTGGTTAGAGTAGACACTTTGGGGACCATGGTCATGGGTCAGAACCTTAGATCATTTTTTCACCACATTCATCTGCGACCACAGAATTCTTCCTCCGACCCTTTCTAGCTATCTGGTAGTGTATAGTATTGGTTATAAGTGGAAGCAAGCACACGAATTCTGACAGCTCAGTGGAAGTCAGTCACCATTGGAAAAATAAATCAAAATAGATATGCAGGGCATTTAAAGGTTTAATACGCTGTATTGGAAGGAGCTCTGGTGGTGCAGTGGGTAAGGCATTCATTTGCTAACCAGAAGGTCAATGGTTCAAGCCGACCCCTATGGGGCAGTTCTAGTCTGTTCTTACAGGGTCACTATAAGTCAGAACTGACTCATTGGTTTGGTTTGGTTTAAGTTGTACTAGGAGCTCTGGTAGCATAGTGGCTAAGGCACTTGACTGCTAACCAGAAGGCTGGCGGTTCAAACCCACCAGCCACTCCCCGGAAGGAAGATGGGGCAATCTACTTCCGTAGTGATACTGCCTTGGAAACCCAAGAAGGGGTCGCTATGAGTCAGGTCCGACTTGACGGCACATAACAACAACAACAACAAGAGATTGAAGAATGAGGACCAGAATGGGTCTTCTAAGTCTGAAAGAAATGTGGAGGAATGGTAGAGGTATCTGACAAACTGATTCTTGAGCTTTCTATAGGGAAAAATGAAGGAAGAATTTAGACCCATTCAAATGTTTCCTGAACTCCTATGCCCCTCTCCCCACTAAATCCATGAGGAAGAACAGATAATCAGATACCTGGATTTGAACAACCGATGGTTTTCTAATCTCTTTCTCTCTTCACTTGTAGGTATTCTCTTGGGTGGCGACTACCGTGCTGAGTCCGTGTCTTCCACACCCTCACCTGTGCCCCCTTCAACTCCCCTGCTTTCAGCTCACTCCAAGACAGGCAGCCGAGACTGCAGCACCCAAACTGAACGTGGGACAGAACCAAACAAAACTGCAGCTGTTGCTCCAATCTCTGTTCCCGCTCCAGTTGCTGCTGCCGCCATCTCTGCCAGCACTGCCACCGCTGCCACCAACACCACCACAATGGTAGCTGCTGCCGCCGCCGCCGCCGCCGCCGCCACTGCCGCTCCAGCTATTGCTGCTGCTCCCCCGTCTCCAGCCACTGCTGCTACTGTTGCTGCGGTTTCTCCGGCTGCTACTGCCCAGGTTCCTGTTCCTGCCTCTGTTGCTGCTGCTGCTGCTGCTGTTGCTCCTGCTGCTGTTCAGGTTGCTCCAGCTGCCTCGGCTCCGGTTCCAGCTCTGGCTCCAACTCCAGTTCCACCTTTGGCACCGGCTCAGGCTTCTGCTCCGGCTCAGACTCAGGCACCAACTCCAGCTCCGGCTACAGCTGCTATTCCAGCTCCAGCTCCAGCTCCAGCTTTGGCTCAGACCGAGGTTCCTGCAAGTCCAGCTACCAATTCTGGACCGTGTCGTTTATCTATACCAAGTTTGACCTGCAATCTTGACAAGACAGGTAACAAATTCTCGGTGCCGCTTAAGTTTTTATTCTGCCCTTAAATACAGACTTCTTTGTTAGTGCCTGCTTCTTAGGCAGAGTTGGCTGTGTGGAATGAGTCTTTCATGTCCCAAAGGGGATTAATCAGAAGGGGTGGGGAAGAGAATCAGCCACCAAGATGGGAAAGGGCATAAGTAGAAGCCATTCTCCCAGAGAAATAGATGCTCAAGTGATTGAGAGGTGTGGCATTCGACCCTCTTTTTGCCATTGCCTTCATGGAGAACCAGTGCTCTATATTTCTAGAAATCTGAGTTTTTGACCTTGTCCCTAAGTGTTTTCTAATGTCTTATTTCCACCTAGATGGTCCTGTTTTCCACACCAGTACTCTGGAAAGAAAAGGTCCCATTCAGATCTTGGGACAAGAGCCTGATGCAGAGATGGTGGAATATCTCATCTGAATGGCCAAATCAACAGCTGCAGTTGATCAGCAAGAATGCTTTTAATCATTTGTTTCCTTTTTTTTTTCTTTTTTGAGGGTGAGGACAAGGGGTGGGGGTGGGGATGTATTTTTTAAAGGGGCTTTTTTTGTTTTTGTTTTTGTTTTGGAGCAATATAATACTTAAGTAATACCATACCAACTCCAGTATGTACTGGTATATTTAGAGAGTACCTCTATACACAAATTAATCAGAATGTGATCTAAGGTTTATTGTTTAGATTTATACAAATACTGGGACTGTTAATATCTGGATATATCCATCAGTGTTTTTAATTTGCTTAAATTTGTTTAAAATTTCTGTACGCCAAAATCTTTTTTTAATGAAGAGCACAGTATGTATCAAAGGCAGTTTGTAACATGTAGTTCAGAAATGGGAAGCCAGAAGAAATTGATATGCTTGCTGTCTTGTACAGTTATCATGTAGACAGCATCAAGAGAGAACTTTCTCATCTGGCTAATGAAAAGGAATAGTTTTAAGAGCTTTGTTAGTTGGAGAAAAAATGGGGGATCTTGTGGTATGGAAGGGTGCTTGAGCTAACTTCCCTCCCAATTTCTTAGCTATCCAGCCCCAAGGGATTACGTTCATCTTGATTTCAGTGGTGATTTGGAAGTGAGTTCTTTTGGTTCCCTCTTGAAGGTTCATACATTCAGATATATGTTCTGGAGTAACTTATGTATTTGCATAAAAACCATTGTTTTCAGATGCTAGAAGAGTAAATTAACAGAGTGATATATAGCTTCCTCTCTCGTAGGGAGTTAGAACATCTGGGGCCTTGATGGAGAGTTGCATGAGGTGTTGTGACTTGTGGTCTGTGTGCAGCTGTGAGCACCAAGTTGCTTTCCTTTCTTAAGACCAATCAGCTTAGTGTTTATTTCTTCTGCAGCACAAAGTCACTAACTGGTCACCAGTCTCAAATTGCAAGTCATTTGCAATAAGGAAGCATTTTTGTCGGTCTGTTCAATGCTTTGGATTTCTGGTGACTGCTTTTGAAGGTACACATTTTGTTTTCTTGAATTCTCAACGTAAGTCTTAAAAGGCACATTTGACTATCACCTCCAAGGGAATATAGCAACAGAAACTCAAAAGTACTGTGCTGCGGTCAGGGTTGAGGTTGATTGCAGCAGTGTCCTCAACTACCTCTTCTCATTGCCAGTTGACTCCGACTTTGGAATACTTTCGGAAAGCAGCAGGAAATATGCATGTGGGCAGGGACCAAGCCTTCTCATAGGGCTGCCTCCCAGGACTCAGAGGGATGCCTGTTGCCACAGGTCCCTGCCGTATGTCACCTATGTTCCCTCCATTAAAGTGACAAATCCACAGATGATGTCATTAACATCATTTTTCAGGGTTTAGTGAGGGTGATGGGAGTGGGGGGATGTTAGATAAAGGTAGGGGTAGAGATTTGGGGGTGTGTTAGTTAGAAACCACATTAAGAGAAGTATAGGCCTGATATTTTACATCATGAGCCATAGTGGCTAGAAGGAATGTTAGCAATATAGCCCTACCCCCTCATCTTAGGGATGAGGAATTTGAGACCAGGAGAAAACTATGTGACTTTTTGAAGTTTGTACAACACAGCTTTTACCATTCTGCCAATTACCATGGAAATTTTGGGAAACTCCTATATAGATCCAAAGAGCCCCATTTTTAAGAAAAAGGCATCTTCATGGCTCAGGGCATATGTGCTTTCTAAAAAAAAAAATGTCCCTGGCTCAAGTAGTTTGTCCAGAATTCTGAATTCCTATCTTGCCTCTCCTGCCGTGCCTTTTTATAAGGTTTTCCCTTTCCTGATCCCCATTTCAGCATTGAGTCACATGAATCATCCCCCTAAGAAACTCATCCCACTTTTCTTGCTGTGAGATTGAGTGTCTTGGATCATCTTGGCTTCCTCTGTGAGTATAGGAATGGCATATTTAACAATATTATGTAAGGAGGTCTGGTGGCTCAGTGCCTAAGGCATTTGATTGCTAACCAGAAGGTTGGCGGTTCAAACCCACCAGCCACTCCACGGAAGGAAGACGGGGCAATCTACTTCCGTAAAGATTTGCCGCCTTGAAAACCCAATGGGGGTCGCTATGAGTCAGAATAGACTCAATGGCAGTAGGTTTGGTTTGGTTTTGGTTTTAGTTCTTACTTATCTTGCAAAGGAATTACCTTTTGATGTCTGAGGAAAGACAAGAGGGAGGGTGACGTGATTTTTCTTTCAGCCCATCTTTTCACATTCATATAGTGAATGCCAATGGAAATTAAAAGTGCTGTTTTATTAATTCTCATAAGAGAATTATGAGAATTTCTCATAAGGAAAGGAAGCAAAAAAAAAAAAGAAAGAACATAATAGAAGCTTATATCTGTCAAATAAATACATTAAGCAGACAAACAAAACCTTTCATCTTCTCCTTTCATGGCCATAGTACATTACCAGAATATTTGCTGGCTCTGGGGGCCATGCTTTTAATCACATTCTGTAAGTTGACAAATGTTGTACATTCCACTCCGTGTGGCAGCCATCTCTTAAGACTCATATATTTGGGAAAGGAGGATGTTCTGGGCTAAGTGCTATTTTGAACTGTCTAGAACATCTCTTTCCCCTCACGCCAGAGGCAGTCCCTTTCCCCTCAGCTTTTAATACCAGATAATTTGCTAAGACTATATCTCATACAGCCGAGATGGAAAGAAGTTCATGTCACTGTCAATGTTTACGAAGAAGATAGATTCCACCTTTCAGAAGAATCTCTAATAGGTGTCATTTTTACAATTCAGGTTTATGGGAGAAATCTCAAGTCAGCCACCTTTTCACTATTGTGTGGATGTAACATTTGGGGATCCTTTCTGGACCCCCACCTATCTATGCATTTTACTGGCACCTCAGTACAGGAGAGTGGCCTCATTGTCTTAACTTGTACTGCCTGGTGATTTCTGGGGAATTTCTAAGTTTGTTGTACCCCAGTGTCCCGTGTGTAGAAAAAAAAAAAATCATTAGAACAAATGTACTTGATAATAAACTCCTATTAATCATTTTTACTAAATAAAAGTAGCTTGAGCATTCTTTTCAAATCATTGTTTTAATGAAGGATTTCTTTTAAATGCTGCTCTTGAGCTTCAGGATGACAGGACAGCAGGAAATGGAAGTATCTGCCATCATCTGCCATAGGACATATACCAAGAGACCTGTTGTGTTCTCTTTTTGTTATTACACAGTTGGGTGGATAGAACAATTGGAAAATGAGCAAACTGATTGTACAAACTACTTTTTATGAAGAGCTTAAATACTCATAATGTGGCAGCTTAAAGTGTGTACATATGCATTAACTTTTATAAATTATATACTCATGTCTGTTAGCCATACAATCTCCTGTTATCTCAATTGCTCGTTCACATATGGAATGTGTTACTTAAAATGTTTGCATTCTTACTGAAAATATTTTGATAGGAAGGCATAAGATATGGGCTAATTGCCACCAATTTCAGTCTGCCATGATTCTTGGAAATGTATCTTCCAAGTGTCATCCATCAGCAGTAGGACAAGTGTCAGGAGTTTGTTTATTTTTTTCTGGTAGCAACGATGGGTTACATAGACCCATCAAACCTCCTTCTGGCCTCCCTTGTGATTAATGGCATGTGTTTGTAAATTGGATAGCTGGGGTTGGGAGAAAGCTAGAGAAGAATCGCCTTTGGTTTCAAACTTAGGTAGCCCCATAGTGATCGAGATCCCCTTCTGTAATCATTTGAGCTAGTTCCAATAAAGTTATACAGGTTTGAATCCACTTTGTGCCTATCTTTTCACTGACAATAAAGCTAGCTATTTTAAAATGCAGTATGTTGTGTGGAAATATTTTGGTGTTTACCGACAGACGCTTGGTTTGCCCTGTAGCAATGATGTACTTTCAATTCAGTATGCAATGAAATTGCCTCTCAAGGACAGCAGAATTTGCATTTGCTTGAAGTGTGGAATGTGATTATAAAGTATTAAGACAACACCATGGGTCACATGCTCTAATCGGTCTCTTTATATAACCAGGCAGCATATATTAGAAGCTTTGCATTTTTTTTTATCTCTTCATTCCAAGGGATAAAATGATGGCCACCCAAAGCAGAGAATTTATCCTTTGGTTAGCAGTTTGGAATGCTTTTTGATGTTCTTTTGTACCCTTGTTCTTATGCCAATTCATCAGTTTTGGTTGAGGGAGCTTGTTATTAAAAGCAAATGAAAACCACAAACAAGTTGGCTCTTTTCACTGGAAATGTGAAGGTGGCCTTTACACTGCCCTCCCCATGCCTCCTGTTTACCCCGTGAGCCCCAAACCTGACTGGTGAAGAAAGGATTCCCTAGGACTTTGAAATAACACTTTCTCCTAGTGAAATTGACCAGATGGGTATCACAAAAGTAATGAGTAGGGAATATAGAATTCATACAAATCTAAATTTGATGTTTCTTTGAAATTGGGCTGTATTATTCCTTCATATTTATGATGAGTGTTTTAAGAACTGTATTTGTGAAGCCATCCCTTTTTTTTAAGCACAAAGAAGATAATATTAATTACACCTTCTATAATGCTTTGTAAAACATTCCTTTGAGAACTACGTAGTTCCCAGTTCTTAATAATCAGCTATTTGTGGGAAGAAAAACCAAGGGTTCCTTTAAAAAATGTCTGAGCCTGCATTGTAGGAGCTTTTCTAGAAATTATCCCATAATGTAACATCTGTTATCAGTAAGATACTTACCTCCCTTCCTATGGGCCTTCCCTACTGCAGTAAGCTATCTGAATAGCCAATATTTGTTACTTAGTTGTAAGAAAAACACCTCCTGCTTCTGACCCCCTCTACCTTCATCATATCCTGCAGGAAGTTGTTTTGTTTGTTTGTTTGTTTTGTTAAAAAAAATGGAGGAAAGAAAATAGAATTATTTGGGTTTACAACAGTTTTTCACTGAATGAAGAGCCCCGAGTGTGATGGGACTTGATTTCCAAGAAGAAAAGTGATCTCCACTACGCCAAAATTTTGCATCTCATTGAAAACATACTCTTGAAGTACTACTTAGATGCACAAACTGACCAAACCCAGAGTATTTATTTTGGCTCTTACTTTTTTTTTTTCATTTGCCTATTGCCTCTACTGATGGTTCCAGGCATGTGAGAGTTGTTTAATAACTACCTTCTAGATGTTGTCATTATGTATAAAAGCCCTAGAATATAAGAATTTTAAAAATCTGGTCCCTGATTCTAGTATATTAGAAAAATAACACAATTTATTATGATATATGAAATGACAAAAATTTGAACGAGATAGATAGTGAACTAGTGCCAAAGGAGGGAATGATTTAGGGGATGACATGGAGTAGGGGGGTGCTAAGATTAGCTTTGAAGGATGTGTAGGTGTTAACCTGATGAACCAAGAGATGGAGACAAACATTCTATGCAGGAATAATAGCAATGTGCAAAGGCAAATCTCTACTTTTATCTGACCTGCAATTAAATGAGGTCTATGTTTCCAAGATCAAAGGCCCTAGAGAATTTTACCTTTCAATAATAA